AACACTCACCTCGGGACACAGGCTAGATAGGAGACAACACTCACCTCGGGACACAGGCTAGATAGGAGACAACACTCACCTCGGGACACAGGCTAGATAGGAACACAACACTCACCTCGGGACACAGGCTAGATAGGAGACAACACTCACCTCGGGATACAGGCTAGATAGGAGACAAGTCTCCGGAGGTCCTCCTGTCGTATTCTGTCATGGTTGCTGCGGGCCGGGAACGTTAAAATGGGGCCACCACGTTTATCTCTACCACCTGAAAGACAAACAATTGAGGCACACTTAGGCAAAACAAGGTAAGATAGGGCTCTGCACGTTCTCGCAGAAGTGTCACCGGCCTTCACTCAAGCAAAGCTATGACTAAGTCAACTGCACAGACAGGAAGGCAGCACTGAGCAGAAGACGATGGGTGGTCCACCAACCCCTCACAGGACCGCTCAAGAAGGTCAGGAGTAAGCACACCACAAGGAAGACAGTGGAGATGGCTGGTCTCCGTCCAATGTGTTTCCTCCTTTCTGCATTAATATTTTTTCTCTAGGACAGAAAAAAAGTGTTCATGTAATGTGGGCACTCACCATGCACAACCACCTCCCTCAGGTCTGCCCTCTCCCTGCCCTCTCTCACACATCCCTCGTTCAACCTCTCTCTCGGATTCCCCCACACACAAACTCCCTTCTTCAAGTTCCTCACATTCCAAGCTCTCCCTTTTCTACCAACTACACTGAGTTTGAAGCCATGAATGGAAAACAGGAATGTTCCTTCAACTCTGCACTGATGACTACATGTTATAACCTGGGATCTATGGAATCTACAATCGCAAGGTCAGTATCACTCTCCAGCAGACAAGCTTTCGCAAAGCCACAGTGCACACACACACGGTTTTTGTTGTTGTTGTTGTTATGTGCCATCGAGTTGGACCCAACTCATAGCGACCCCTCCTTGGGTTGCCGAGGCAGTATCACTATGGAAGTAGATTGCCCAACCTTCCTTCCGAGGAATGGCTGGTGGGTTTGAACCGCCAGCCTTCTGGTTAGCAGTCAAGTGCCTTAGGCACTACACACGAGGTTAGCACACGAGAAATTTAAAATAAATCCAGTTAGCTTAAGGATTGAAAAAAAAAATGTATACTGCACACCAGGAGTACGTATTTCAAACTATTTATTTGCCTATGACAGACAGACAGACAGACAGAAATACGCTCTCCTAAACATATAAACCTACCAAATAAAGTCTGTCTGGGGGCAATTTCACTCTTGGTGAAATTCTCATGTTTATTTTATTGCTTCTATCAGGATGCTCAGAAAAAACAATGTGGAGAAAGAACTGTCACCTGCCAAACGGGTCCTTGGTTTAGTGCTGGTGCTCTGAGCATCCCTCTTTAGAAGTACAGAAGAAAGAAAGATCTCAAAATCCAAGTCACAAGACGAATTCTTATTTTCTGTGCACCAGAAATTATCAGAAGTAAAATTAAACAACAAACATTCTTTCCTTTTAGCCAAAAAGAAGACAGCAGAAAGTGCTGGTATTTTAAAAGCCCATTTACCAATATGCTTTATGATTTCCTAGGATGGTTACACGTGGATTCTGAACAGCACATAATTTTGATCATGAAAACTTAAAATGGCCCATATGTAACCGTTCAGTCACGCAACCTAGTAAAGTGTGCTGTACTGCTTATAAATCCAGTACGTCAAGTACTAAGTGGGAGCAGCACTAAATAACTGGAACCAGTGTAGGCTGAGTCTGGATCTTCACAGTGCCCCTGTTCAGGGGTATCATCAATCCTGGGTCATAAATAAAGATGGTGAGGCTCCAAGAGTCTATATAAGGGCAAAGGGGCTAGAAGGCAAGGTTACAACAAGTGTTTAGTGTCAACGCCTGTCATCTGGGCTGACAAGAACTTTCTGGTTCTCTGAGAAAGTCCAAGCTGAAAGGCTCCACTGAACAGCTGGTGGTCACCAAGGAAGCTATGTACCTGTGACAGCAAGATACTGTTTCTTAAACCAAGTGACAGGTTCACTACATTATTCTCTATATTTTTGGTAGATTTTAAAATTAAAAGTTTTCAAATTAATGGTGTTAGATCTTTCCAAAATAGTGGAAATGTCAGAGGACAAATAAATACTGTGTTCCTTGCCCTTTTCTGGTTAACATTTATGAAGGAAAAGGAGCTCCTGGGTGGCACAAATGGTTAAGCACTCAGCTACGAACTGAAGGTCGGCAGCTGGCGCCAACCAAGGCGCTTTGGCAGTCAGGCCTGGTGGTTTTCCACCTGAAGTCCCTATGGAGCCGTGCCACTCTGCACACATGGAGTCGTCACAAGTCAGAATCAACACAACAACAACTGGTTTGGGTTTTTTTCAGAAAGAAAGAAAGGTCCGCAACAGAAATATTATTGAAACTGACAAAATACCGCTGTTAGTTAATCTCTAAAATATGCGGTATCATTTTTAGGCTAATAACAGTAGCTCTAATTGTCAGTGATCTCTCTCCCCCATTTCAGACTGGCCAGCTGACATGCTGATCTCCGCCTCAGTAGCTCCACCGCCCACTCATACCCAGCAGCATCTTCATTATATTCCCTGATTCTTCAGTTATTTGCCCAAAACTCAACCCTATTCCCCACAATCTGTAATGAACTCTTGAGTCCTGTTACTCTTCAACCTCGTGAACCTTCTGGGAGGCATCTGACGCTGGACCAGGACCAGGCGTCCCAGCCTGCCTCTCCCTGGGCTGGCCCCTCCACTACTGAAAGGTAACTACTTGTCTTTCTCATCTCTTAGAGGACAGTGTCAAGCTTACTGCCAAGGAGAAGTTCAATTAAACCAGACCCAGTAACTGACCCAAGCATTTAGGTATTAAAATTAGGAAAAGATGTGAAAATTCTATCTTGTTTTAAAACTGATAAATACACATTTCAGTAGAGTTGACAACAGCAACTCCTCAGATTAGATAGGAACCTTCAGGGGCAGAGAGTTTATTTTCATGGGGAGGAACAACTCGGAAAAGGACACTTACACAACCCGCAGAAATGGCTGAATTGGGGTATGTTATACTGTTTAACAGAATACAACTTCTAAAACTTTTCCACTAGAGTTTACAGTTTTTGTTGTCTATGGTGCAACCTATATTCATAAATCACTTTTGTCTTTTCCCAAAATAAAGCAGATTAACAGCTTCAGTATTTTTCATTTGCCAACATCTTTCATTCTTTTCTAAAATGAGTGAATCTCTGTGAAAGAAAACTGGCCCATTACACATATTAAAGCAGCCAGGGTATGTGGATATACAGGTGGGTGGGTGTGTTTTAATACGGTATGTGATCTCTAGATTAAACATTTCCCCTAATGTTAGTAGCTCTGGTAGCGTAGTGCCTAAGGCACTGGACTGCTAACCAGAGGGCTGGCGGTTCAAACCCACCAGCAACTCCTCGGAAAGAAGGTGGGGCACTCTATTTCCATAGAGATACTGCCTCGGAAACCCAAGGAGGGGTCACTATGAATCAGGTCCAACTCAACGGCACATAACAACAACAATAACAACCTAATGTTAGTAAGGAGGAGAGAAGCATCTAACAGTGGCCTGGACCACCACTCTGAATGTTGTACGTGAGGGAGAATAAACGCCAGCAACCTATCAGACCTTCCTACTCTGTGGTCACTGCATCTTGCAGCCCAAGTGCAGCACATTCCACCATGGGGAGAAGAGCAAATCCAAACACTGCCGGCCAAAGCAAGCTGTGAGGGATGTCATCGGTGTGTGACATCAACGGCTGTACACAGCCCTTCCTTTTACTCTGAAATGAGAACTTAATAAATGCCAGTGTGTGCAAAAATGCTGGCCAACTCTGCTGTGTTCTTTTGAACTTTTAGCAGCAAAGGGTCATCCTCATAGACATGCCAGCAAGTCCATCCCTCCAGACAGGCTCTCATTTGGGTCCTAAGAAAATTTTACTTCAACCTGAACCTGGATTTTGAAGGAGGAAAAACAACTCACTTTGCATGTTCTCTAGAACAGACCTTCAAGAAACTCATTAGTATGGTTAAAGCATCTGGCTGCTAATGGAAAGGTCAGCAGTTCAAATCCACCAGCAGCTCTGTGGGAAAAAGATGTGGTTGTCTGCTTCCATTAAGACTTTTACAGCCTTGACTCAGGACCATAGTCACAGGGGCCATCAAGCTCAATTGGCTTAACATACTACACAAAACATTGTTCCACCTCCTACTTTGGCGAGTAGCAACTGGGATCTTAAAAGCTTGCGAGCATCCATTTAGATGTAACGATGGGTCTCTCCTCATCCAGAGCAAAGAAGAATGAAGAAAACCAAAGATTCACAGAAACAATTAGTCCTAGCAGCTGGTACACCATGCGATCCACAGCCTATAAGACTATGAGACCAGAAGAACTAGATGGTGCCCAGCTACTGCTGTCAACCACTTAGCGGGGGGAATCTATGTAGGAGATCCTGGATAGAGAGGAAGAATAATGTAGAACAAAATTCAAAATCATTTGGAAAAAAAAAGGGGGACCAGGTTTGCTGTCTGATAGAGCCTGGTGGAGCCACTGAGATTATGGCCCCTAGCTGTCCTTCAGGTCTGGAATTGAACCCACACCTGTGGCTTCCAGCCAAACAAAAGACAGGCACAGGAGTTGAGCATGTACCTGAGGTAGATACACTCCTTGGAGAGAACAATCATGGGAGAAAGAAGGGTTGTTTATGTACAGTGAGACAGCTCAGGGGGCAGGAGTGCATGGAGGGATGGACACAGGGAAGAAGTACCTATAGGGAGGAAGTAGGAGGGGAGCTGTTGCATTGTGGTGATTGTGATCAATGTTATGAGACAAAGTGAATTTGCTCTGTAAATTTTCACCCCAATCACAATTTTAAAAAAAGATTTACAGCCTCGAGAACCCTATGGCACAGTTCTACTCTGTCCTCTAGGGATGCTCTGAGTCAGAATCAACTGGACAGCAACGGTGAGGTTTTGTTTTGTTTTGTTTTTCTTTAATGGTTTTATGACTTCATCAAAATCACTTATGTAGGTACAAAGGCCTGGTGATCTACTTCCAAGTGTCAGCCAGTGCACACCCAAGGATCTTGACAGTCCGACCCTGCTGTGCATCACAAGGCCAGGAACTGTCTCATCACTGCAAATGGCTGAACTTCTAACAACGGAAATATAGGGTGACCTACAACAACTCCAGGTAAGGTCCCAACCGGTGAACTGTTCAGGATGTAGTAAACTACAGGAACCA